ATCCACCCCCCCCCCTTTGCCATTTTATATTGCAGAAGAGAGTGAGGGGGGATTGCAAGGAACTAATTGGACCTGGGCAATGAAGCAAACGTTGTTTTTCTGGCTAGTTAAGACAACGGTAATGCTTTGCAAACTTTTGTCCTTGGTAATAAATTAAACCCACAATTTTATCACTTTGATAACAACACTTAAAGGAGAACTATGGGGGTCAGTGTTTTTCCCCATAGTTCTCCTTGGGGTAACGGGAGGACACAAACTAGCGTCCTCCCGTCACCCTAAGCTCGACTTAGACGACGGGATCTGCCCAGCTGCGTGAGTGACAGCTGGCTCTGCCTATCTAGAGGCAGAGCCAGCTGTACCCGCCCCCTCCCCCGTCCGTTCCGCCAGTCAGCGCTGGCAGATCGGAGCGGGGAGAGGGGAATCCAGCCCCTCCCCTGTCACGGCAGAGAGCTGTGACAGGATCGAGAGGTGAGCAAACCCGGTATGTGTATGCTCACCTCCCGATTTACTGAGCTGACCTGTGACAGTCTTATTGCCACAGGTTGGCTAGAACTATGAGGTGAGTGAAAAGCACTCACCTCATAGTTCTCCTTTAAGAAAACCATAATTAGTAGCAAATGGCAATCAAAATGTTAAATCATTTGAGTGCAGTAGACTTAAATGTGATTTGGTTAGTGCAGGCACAAAAACTTGTAGTGTATTTTTGAATTGGCCCAATTTTGTGGATGGGACAATCTAATCTCTCTGTCCTTCGAAAGGGACTTTCTGTCTGTTTATTGCCCAGCCCTCGTTGTGCCATCTCGCCTGTTTATGAAGTGAGTGCTGTGTGGTGTTCTGGAATTCTGGGAATGTCTGAGTAATAATAATTAGATTGGGGGAGGGGGTAGTCTGGCCAGTATCACCAGGGGGAGGTTATTGTATATGGGAGTGGAGGTCACAGTCCCTTCTATACACTCCTTGTCACACCCAGCCAGAAAAAGCAGCTCTCACGCTGATTGTCCTCTTCCCATCCCCCAGAGGCTCGGCTCTCTCACCGATACTGGCTATTGCCTTCCTTTTGTTGCAAATAAGTTTTTATGGGGATCAGGCCAGGCCGGGATCACATCTCAATAGGCAGCTTCTCTACAGTTAC